AACTTATTTGACATTTGATCGAATTTGTTTAATAGAATGAATAGCTATAGAGAATAGAGTATTTTTATTGTATTCACTGGAGCATATTTCTTTGTATATGTTTGTACATTTACTTCTATATAAAATAAAATTTACTTGCTTTTAAAAAAAAAAAATTTTTTTAATTAATAATCAAAAGCCCTTCTTTTTTCCAATTTCAACTTAAACAATTTAAAAATAAAAATTCTTTTTTAATTACTATTTTAAGGTCAATATTATTTTAAAATTTAATATCAAAAACTATTATAAAAAAAGAAAACAACAAAAATTATTATACATGTTTTTATAACTATAAATCCGTATCACTTTCATAATACATTTCTAAAGGCACGCATACAAATGCATGTATGTATTTGTAGCTAAATAACTTTTATATTGCTAAAACGAAACTTAGTACAAATTATATAAATGGCAGATTGTTATAAATTACAGTTATGCACGCTTATATAACATATGCATGTAAGTATAAACTATGTTTCAAAGTATATATTTTATTCATGCATATTTTGAGTAAAGAAAAACAAAGTTATTATTTAAAATTCTGGTGTTTCTAAGCGAGCTATGGAAACATTTTCTAGAAATTTACAATGGAACATATTTCTAGCTTTCAAACCATTAACTATGTAATACGACATATCCACATCTACATAAATGCAAATGTCCAACAAGTTCTTATAAACATTTTATATTCAGTTTACCCATGTGCATAATAGTGATATAATAATTTTGTATGTTTGTATGTATGTATGTATATATATAACTGTTAATTGATATATGTATTTATAGGTATGCACAATAAAACTTGTTTAAAATTTATCAATTCTACTTTTATTTTTTATTATAATTATTATTGTTATTCTATTATTATTTTGTTTCTGTTTTAATTTTTCTTATTCATAAACTTGTACTTCAAAAATATAAAATATTGAGATCGAATTTCAAATACCTATGTAAGTACATATGTATGTACATACGTATATACATACAAAAATATGAATAAAAAACATTTATATAGAAGGAAAAAGAAAAATAACAAATCAAAAACTTTTACATAGATCACGTTTAGTATAGTGACCTCAAAATTAATATGGACTGGCTATAGCTGACATTTAAATTTAATATTTTTTCTATTTCTGCTTTTGTTTTTCTTCTTTTTGAATTTTTTTTAATTTATTAAAAGTTTAGAATTAACATAATTATAAATATATGTAGTTTTTATTGATATTTATTATGTGTATTTCATTTTATGTATATTATATACATTCCGAAAAAATCTATTAACTCAAAAACATATTCATTTTGAGGAAGCTAGAAAAAAATATTTTTAATTTATGTCTGACTCTTTAAAAAATATCTTTAATTTATGAAAGGTATAGGATTCGTTGATTGTAATATTATATCCTACATATACCAATGTTAATACTAGTGATTTGACCGTGATATTTATGCTCTAACGGAAATTTGGTTGTCTCCCTCCATCAATAATCTTGAATTATTTAACTCTTCATTTTCTGTTTTTAGAAAGGACCGACATGGACTTTTCTTGCATGGACACACCCAAAAGGGAAGTGGGGTATTAAACGCCGTTGTAAACTCGTTATATAACCGACGATCTTGAAATGCAGTTAAAATTTAGCTGAATTCCAAAACGCTTTTCTTAGTCAATTGCTATATACCGCCTAACTCAAGTAAGGAGTTATAAGCAAAATTTTCTTCGGCAATTGATTATGTATGCAATTCTCTTAACCCGGAGGATGAGGTTTTTATTTTCTGAGATTTTAATCTCCCCAAAATTAGGTGGATGACTCATGATGAGGAACTATTTTTGATTTCAATTGACTGTTCTAGTAAGTTGGAGTTATCTTTTATAGATACGTTTCATCTAAATAATTTGCAATAAATATCCTCAAGAACAAACCATTTGTATAACTGTTTACCTATAACTGTCCCGGCTCCGTGGGTTAACATTGATATCTGTTATCCTCTGATATCTTTCTCTTATTGACGAACCCCTTTTCTATCGCTTTGAATTTGAAAGAGTGAATTTCGCATTGCTAAATGATTTCTTTTCTAGTAACGACTTCTCTTCAGTATTTAACTTTACTGAAATTGAGTCCATGACGGGTAAGTTTTATGAAGTCATTTTTGCATTGTTTATGCCAGTGTTAAAAACAAAAGATACTGGCTCTGGCCCTCCATGGTTCTCCAAGAGTTGAGGGTACTTCGCAACAAAAAGAATAACGACTACTATATCTATAAAACTTCGGATAACTTAATACGTTATCCCAAAGTTTTTTGGAAGTTTATAAACCATAGGAGGAAAAGTTAGTGTTATCCAACCTTCTTGAAATCCGGCGGGTATACAAGTAATAATTCCCAAACTTATTCCGAATTTTTTCGTAACGTTTTCGCCGAATCTTACTCTTTTTCATCTTCTCAATTAGATGTTGACGACTTTCGTCACATTGATAACTATCCTAGAACTACCTTTACAAATTTTGTCACGAAATCTTTTGCGGTTGAAAAATATCTTTCCAATTTGGGTTCTAGTCATGACATGAAAATTTTAGAAACACCAAAATTTTAAATGATAACTTTGAACAAGTGCTTTGTTCTCTGGCGTGTATCTTAACCGTAATTTTAAAAAGTCTTATTCTTCGGGTATTTTTCCTTCCGTGTGGAAGGAAGCTTTCATTAGGTCAATCCATAATAAAAATGACGTGTTAAACTACCGTCCTATAGCTAAACTATCGGCAATTCCTAAGGTTTTTGAGTTGATGGTATATGACAACATTTATTTCATTAAATGCCATTCATTAGTGGGCGTCAGCATGGCTTCTTGAAAGAGACATCCAGGGTGACTAAGCTAATGGAAACCACGATAGTTATTAAACGGACGTAATTTACACAGACTTTAGCAAAGCCTGTGACATGCTACCACATGACGTTATTATTTTAAAATTGAAACTCTTATTCCCTGACAACTTCTTAGCCTGGATAAAGTTATATTTGGTAGGACTTACAGAGTTATCTTTCGTTCAGCAATTTCTTCGCCTCTTTCGTCTAATTCTTGTGTACCCCAGGGTAGTCATTTAGGTCCACTGCTGTTCATAATTTCAATTAATGGTGTTGTTTCCATGTTAACGCACAGTAAGGTTTGCTGATGACTTGAAAATTTTCAAGGTATTATTATATGGTGAGGTATAAATATATGCTGATGACTTGAAAATTTTCAAACAAATTAGGTCTGCAAATGATGCGATGTGTCTTCAGAATGATCTTAACCGCTTCTACGGGTGGTATTCAAATAATTACCTAAAAATCAATGTAAGTAAATATGCACAGATGTGCTATTCTGAGCAAAGACGACTGCTTTTTACAAACTATACTTTGAATGGCCAAGCTCAATTGAGAGTATTCAAAAAATTTTGTTGAGGCTCGCATTGCGCCCTCTTCATTAGGAAGACCCCATAATTCTTTCAATTTATGGCTCAAATTAAATGACCTACCCACACTGGGTAAAAGACGTGATATTGCGGATTTTATTCATTTTTCAGCTTACGAAAACTGACTTAATCTCTTCCGACATTTTAAATAAAATTGTGATTAATTCCAACCTTAGGTCTCGTTCCCCTGATCTTTTCATGGTCCCTTTTCATAGGACCAATTATGGGAAACATGAACCTGTCAGCAGAATGCTGCATTTATGCAACAACCTTAAACCTGATTTTTCACTGAAGAAAGAAACGATGAAAAAGTTTCTATTTACTTATAGTTAAGTATAACCCTTTTTTATATTTTGACAAATTCTTCTTTTAATTTTTCATTAATAAGTTTTATTTTGTATAATTTTTAAATTTAATTTTTAAGTCAAAAATTTGTTCTGTCTTTTATGCATTCTTTAATTTTAAGTTATGTAAAATGTTTGGCTAAACATAAAGAAATAAATAAATAAATAATGTACTGTTGTATATGTAAATTAATTTATGTACAAATATAACTGTCACTATATACATTTAATGTGATGTTGTGGAAATTACAATTTTTTCATTTTAAGTAGTAAGTTGGATGGAAACTGTGATCTACTTTTTTTAATGGATTTCTTGTATCAATAAATTTATTTAGTCAATATTTTATGTTGATTTAGTGAAAATGAGTATTTTTATGAGCTGAAATAAATTAAAACTAAAATACAGACGAATTATAATGCCTTTAATTTATATTTGACCAAACAAAAGAAGGTATGTACATATGTATGTATATATGTATGTATAATGTTACATATTTATGTCTAGGCAAATGTAGTATAAAAAATATTTTACAACATTAAAAAATTTAAATCAGAGAAATAATTGTATTATTTAAGTTTCATTGATCATAGTACTATGTAATTTAAAATATTAAAAGTTGGAATTTATTTGGCTTGCATAGACTCTGTTATGAGTGTAAGCTTAAACTATAAAAATAATTTTCTCATAAAAATTTAATTTTACTGTTTCAGAACCTTGCAAAAGATTTAACACCCGTTAGTTTGCCCTATGGCAATAAATTCTTCTGCAAAAAAATGATTGCATTTTGAAAATTTTGAACAACTGAAAAGGCGAAAAAGAATATTTAAATGTCAAAGAAAGGGACATAAAAAAAATTCTGATGCATGATTTCACTAGTGCCATGTAAATTATTAATATACGTATGGTATTACAATACGAAACAGTTAGGAATCTTTACAGTTCAGAAAGAGAAGAGAAAAACCTGCTGAGAAAAAGTTTGATTATTTATTTTTTGTTTCTGATTTGTTTCTTTTAGGGTCCTAGAAAATCGAAAAAACAATTTAAAAATTTTCATTCTTCCTTAAAAATCTATACAAATACATGATTTTTGGTTGTACCTATTTCCTTTTGAACAATATTAAATAAATACTCATAATTTATAAATAACTTCCAACTTTAATATATTTGCAGATTTGGTGGACAGCTCTTTCCGTTGCATTAGGATTAGATATTCGTGGTGATGTTATACGAGGTGTGCCATGTATAAAACGTTATCATCAATTGTTTTGTCCAACTGCGGGAAATAGTTATCCAATGTAAGTAAAAATTTTTCTTATTAAAAAGTGTTTTTTAAAAACTTATAAAATGTCAAAACAAATGACTGTTTTTTAAGAATTTTTTGTTTTGGTAATGATACAAGAGCATGTAAAAATTTTTATTTCGAATTTCTTACAACTTTAAAATTTGATAATTCCTATTATGCTGTAAGAACACAAAACAAATATGTACATGTGTTGTCTTATATGGCACACACTTTGATCTATTGTGTAATTTGTCATCACTCATTTTTTTTCTCCGCGAATTTTTTTTTAGTTATTATAATTCAGTTCCTCTGGATTTATTCGCACCACATTGAATAAAATCTGTGGAATTGTAGTACCTATGAATTAAAACTTTTATTAAAAACACCGTCATTATAAGTCAATTCATATGAAGTATAAAAAATTTTATTAAAATAATATTAATGTTTTTATTGCAGCTGTCGTTTAAGTTTAAAATGCATACATACATACATATATATCTGTATGTAAAATATATGTACATTTAAGACTATTTAAAATTTAGCTTAATTAAAGTGAATTTTAAATACTATTTAAAATTGAGTTTATGTAGATTTAATTCCTAGGATATTAAAATATTGTTTTGCATTTGTGATTGATTAATTTTTTCATTTTAAATTAATATTTTATTGCGAGCAAATTTTATACAATTTTCAAAAATATTTTACTTTTGACATTAGGTTATAATATATAAAACGTTGCCAATATTTATATAGTTTGAGTTTACTCAAAAACTATTTATATCAATAAGCAGACATTGATAATAATTTTTAATTTAAATTACATATAATTGATTACTTCATATGCTTTAAAACTTAAATTATACATTATATTACCAATTTATGCAGACAAATTTATAATATTTTGTTTTATTTTTACAGTTTCAACAAAAAAAATATTATTGACAATAATGTGTTGCATATTAATTTAATTTTTTGACTAAATTATCATTGATAATGACAATGAAATGTTGATTTTTATATTTACATACACATACAAATATTTATAGACTTTTTTATCATATGTACATTATACGTAAAAATCAGTTGAAATTATTAAGAATTCGAAATACGATATAATATTATGCTTGAAAGCACCTTATAAATTAATTTCCAATTAAATTTATGAAAAAAAAAGTAAACGATATTTGAGTCAAATTCTTCAAAAATTATTTACGGTATACGTATACGAAGTTTTGAGTTACACATATACATACATGTATGATACTCGTAATTGAACAAAATTATTCAAATCAAATGGAATTTGAATATTTCTATTAAATTTGCGTTGATATAATAATAAATATACTTAAGGCTTATAAAAGTCTAGAGTTACCAGGAATTTAAAAATTTAGTTATGATACACATATGAATCGACAATATTTCTGACGAAAGATTGTCGACAAACCGAACAGGGTCCATAGGAAAATATAGCGACTAGAGTATAACAAACTCAACGAAAGCCATGAATTTTGAAGAAACTTGAGAACTCATTAAAAAAATCAAAAGAGCCGCTAGAAAATAGAAGCGAAAATTGATCGAACATATAGTATTCAAAGCGGAGCAGCAGCACACGTGATTTGCACCGAAAAATTAATAAACTTGTCGAGTAAAAAAAAGAGCACAACACGCCAATTAAAGACAGAAATGTCAACCTAGTGATTAATCAAGATGCCCACCTGATAAGATAGAAGTAACGCTATGAAACAAGTAGCAACGTAACACATACCAGCGCAGACATTAATGAAAGCAGTCCAGACAGAAAGCAGGAAAACTTAAGAATTTCTGAAGAACCTCCAAATATTAGTGAAATTGGAACAGCCATAAGAAAACTTAAGCAAAACAGGGCAGCAGATAGTGCTGGCATAATAATTCAACTGCTTCTGGCGAACACACGCACTATGGATCAGCTGTTAGAACCCCACATTTCATGAGCATGGAGTACGAATACGGGAAGAACTAGCATAGATCCGCTCATATTGAAGTTTTGTCGATCAGGCAAATACTTAGAATCCTAGTTGAGCAGTCAACAGAATCAGATCACCGCTTTACATGCTATTCATTGATTTTCGAAGGACTTTCGACACAGTCATGCATGATGGAAGGCGCTAGGCATAGGGCAACTCCTGAAAAAATAATCCGCCAAATCCAAACGTTGTATGACTTCTTCGGAGTAATACACAAAACGCGCGGTAATACACAAAAGACAAATAAACGAACACTTCGTTACTACCTCAGGAGAAAAACAGGGCTACCAACTTTCACCGCTGCTCTTCACAATCGTTACAACTCGCCTGCTCACGGAGAAGGGGCATAATCTGGAGTCCACGGTGAAGCGAGATAATTTGGACGACTAGAATGGAATTCAATGGACAACAAGTATATTTCGTCGATAACTAGCTTAATAAAGCAAGGGCAGCTTTCTTAGAGAAATTAACCTCTGAATACTCTGGCCATGTGTAAAACCAGTTCGGACGTGTGTATAGTAGCGAAACCAGGCTAATATCAAAATCTGTAGTGCAGAGACTGCAAGTATTTATTAACAAATGACTCAGAATTATATACCGAATTCTCTAGGCGAAAGTTATTAGCATTTAGGAACTCTAGATAATAACAGGAGAAGAAATTGTCAGACAAATGCGAAGAAAAAAGTGACAATAGATAGACACTCTAAGGAAACCTATCGGTAGCATTGCTGGAATGAGCTTAGAGTGGAATCCGCAAGGATCGAGAAAGCCCAGTTGCCCAAGAAATATTTAGCATAGATCTGTAAAAGCGAAGTTAGAAAGTGCAGGGATCAATTTAAGAAGGTGGCTAACAATTGATAAAAAGGTGGAGAGTATTGATAAAACAAATATACATATGTATGAATAGCTGTGTTTATGCGACGACTTTTGCACCAATTGTTGACGTGCGCATAATATGTCCATTATCGTTTCAAATAGCTTATGGTGAAAAAATAAGTAATGATATTATTGAGTCCTTGATTTTTTCATTAAGAGATAAAACAACTAATAGAATACAGCATTTTTTATTATTTTTCTAAAAAGATTTTACTTTCTAACAACTGAATTGGTTTCACTTTTCTAACCAATTAAAAGTAGGTCAAATGTTTGTTACGCATAATAATATTTTGTACTTAACGCAATAACAAAAAAAAATCTAATTTATTCAATCGTTTTTTGTTCCCTTGTAGATTAATTTAGAAATAACAATCTGTTTTAATTATGTGATTCTCATGTAATTCCCGGAAAATTAATAAATTTAAGATAGAAAAAACGTTATACATATGTATACATACGTATGTACATTTTTAGCTTAACAACCTGCTTATATTTTGAATATTGTAAAGTTCAGTTCAGACAAGCTCATTCAAATAAATTTTTATCGATTAGCAAAAAAAGAAACAATTAATAAAAATAATAAAAAGCAAAACAAAAAAGGCAAAAATTTCATCATCTTTTAAAAGATAGCGAACTAATTAGCATTCCCTCTCTTTCTACTTTTGAAATATAAGTTTAGGTTTCTCGACAATAAAACAACATGTACACATATTCGTATATGACTATGAATTTAAATGAAACAAACTCTTGTAGTATTAAAATATATTGTATATACGTATGTAACGGTGTATTACTAATTATACGGTTTTTGAAAAGTTTTTTTTTTCATTTTTGTTGACGACAACAAAACAGTACAATAAACTCATACATATGTATGTATGTATATACAAAGCAAGAAAAATTAAAACTTGAGACATGACTGTAAAATTGATAAAGATACATACATACATACTTATGTATGCATATAAAAATTTTTTTTGTATAAATTTGAAATTCGACACATTCTGTTCTTTTATATAACTCATGTTATATTCAAATATCGAAACTTAATTTCCTAAACCTATTTCCTATCCTAAGTCGTAATTTGCAATTGCTCAAAAGTTTTGGATTACAATTAAATCCTAAATAAAATATACATACATATGTATGTGCACATAGTATTATTACGCGCGAATGATTTGTAAGCCGACTTACATATACTGCGTCAACGACGTAATTAACTTTCGGGTTCAACGTGCTACTCACATCGGATTTTACTTGAAAAATTCTTTTGGAAATTGAAATGAACATGGGATTCTGCTCTAAGCAAGAAAATTCATTGCTAATCTTAACTTGTTTATTTTACTAAAACGCAATTTGAATGTAAGGTTTCGTACAACGTAACGTACATTTACTGCAATCCCAAAAAATAAATCTTTCGCAAGCTTAAAATAAGGGTAAACAACAACATTTAAAAGTTTTTATTCAGTTAAGATTTATTCTCAAAAAGTTCTGGTAAAAAATGTTAATGAAACTTTTACTTTTTAATAATTTATCATTGTTTCGTATCTTCAGTAAAACATACCTACATGCGTATGTGCACACATAAAGATTACATATACATATTGTGCATATGTATGTGAATGTATATGAATAAATTTGTGGCAACCGTACCACGTTCTTTTATATTATAAAAAAAAGTACAACTTTTGATTTCGTAAGAGGTATTTATTAAAAGAAAAAGAAGAATAACTGATACATAAATGATTCAATGATTCATTCGATTTCATTCTTAGTTCTGAATTTGATATTGTTGTGTTCTTATATATGTATGTTTTATGTAATTGTATAGTTAAACAAGGATCGTTATTCTTTAGGTGATTGACACCAATTGTATTTGATTGTATAGTTTATTCTACGAATACAATAATTGAGAAGGTCTTTAACCTTTTTATTTTAAGATAACAAATAATTTTTATTGTTTTACTGTAAACAAGACGGAAAATTATTATAAAAAGCTCAGATTTTTCAGTTCTAAAACTTCGAAGGAAATTTATTGATATTTTTTATGTCTTTTGTATGGATAATATTTCGATCAATAGTATTCTTAGTAGGTATAACTACAAAAAAACCTTATTTATTTAAATTTTGGAAAATTATAAGATAGTTTATTATATAATACCTAAATATTTTTTCCATTGTAGAGAAAAAATTGAAAAATTTATTGACGATAATAAGGCGTTAATGAGGCGAATGTATGGTGATTTTGAAATGACAGACTATGGTACACCACTTGGTCAAAGTCGACGTAGGCGTAGAAGATATGTTGATGACCCAGATATATTTATACCACCAGGTGTATTTCCAGCTGATGCATTTGAATCTGAACCGGATACTGAAGCGGGTGAAACATATTTTGGAAAATTACGTAAAAAAAGGCAAAGCTCTGGAAATAGAAATAAAAATAATCAAAAACCGGGAACTAATAATAGAGGTGGTAGTAATATTGGCAGAGGATCTAATGCCCCAAACAGTAGTACAGACAGTGGTTCTGGAAAGTAAGTTTGTATAGGAAATCAATAATGTTTCTCAATTTATGAAATTAAGTAAACTATTAACATGAAATATTATTTTATTATTTTTATAATCATTGTTACTTTATAATCATTTTGTTTCTTATAAAGTAAAAAGTTTTAACATCAGGAAATACTGGCGTATATATTTGATTTTATTTTAATTCTTATTTCATTAGAGTTGATGTTTGTGAGTCTAAAGTTGAAGTCGTAACACCATATTGGGCATCAAATTCAGCAGGAAAAATTCGCGCAATTGTTAATACACAACATTTTGAACAAGCAATACATCAAGAAATGTGCACGTAAGTTTTTATTCACCATCATTTTGATTATGGAATATACTTCACAAATAGTTATTTTGAAAAATGTTATTTTACTCTTCAACCAAGTAAGCATATTTAAAGTTTCCTTTTTCTTAATTTATTTTTAGGAAAGTAACAACAGCACGGTGTGGTAACGATTGTGGTTGCGAACAAAAATATAAATGGCATCGTCTTTTAGCCTACGACCCTGACAATGACTGTAAAGGAATATTTATGGATTGGTTTTTATTTCCATCATGCTGCGTGTGCAGATGTAGTCCATAGTTTTTTTTTCGTCAAATTATTAAAATATTTAAGTTTAATTAAGTGTAAGAAAAAAAAGAAAAAGTAATGTCATAACTTTGAAAAATTTAAGTAACAGCACATAGCTTGAAAAATTTTAAAATTAGGAAAATTTTTTTTAAAATGAAAATTTTTAATACTTTTATGTGCATAATTTATATAAAAAATAATTAATTTGGTATATGTAAATTTTTATTAAATTAAATATACATAATTATACATGAATATATTAGCAAAAATATATACATATGTATAAATAAAAAATGTTCAATTTAAATAAATTTTTAAAAAATTATTTTGTATTACAAGTATTGTAATATAGATTAATAAGAAAAACATCAAATATAATTGAGTTAGGCGAAAATAATTATTGATACATGTATTAGAAAATGTGTAATATGCTTTAGATATAAAATATGGTATACATACATATTCTTTTTTAAGTTTTCTTAGATCAAAATAAAAGTAAAAGCAACACGTTAGAGTTAGGCTACACCGTAACGAATTCGTAAAGATCTTCTTCATTAGGTTCTCTAAGCAAACAAATTAAACTAAAAACAAATTAATTTTCTCTATTTTAATTATTTTACGATTTCAAAAACTTGAACAGTGTTTAACGTTGAAATATTTGTGTTTTTTTGTATAGAAGTCCCTATACAAAACAAAATTTTTATTTTGCTTTTAAGAAGAATATTAACTTCAGTCTTTCTTTTACTGAAAAAATGTTCACTACGTTTATATTGTTAATATTTATTTTTAATTTTTATTAAATATTTTTCCTAACCGATTTTGAATTTGCAAATTCAAATCAAACTTTGTATACATTTGAACGTCTATCGAAAAGCAAATAAGTACGTTAAGTTGATGCGTAACATACACGTTATATAGACGTTCTTGTTGCATTTTTTATACGAGCTGAATATTATTAATTTTTCTTTTTCGAAGGATTATCTAATAAATTGTTCAAATTTAAAACAATATGGTCATATATAATACATTACACTTAGGTAATTCATAGTACAGTTTAAAAAATACATTTACCGTGATTGCAAAGTTGCAGTAAAAAAGTATTGCTAAACCATTCAATAATATTATGATATAAGCTGAATTAATTGTGTACATATTACATACTGCAATTCTCAAGTCAGGGATACTCGCATGTAATAATAATACAAGACATTATATGAAACTTAGTGAGCATATACGAAATTATTAAAATTGTTAGTTATATTATACGGCTATAACGAAATTTTTAACTGCGTTTTGTTTAAATGTTAAAAAAAATATAATAAAATTTGTGAATTTTAATTTTAGATGTAATAAATGTTCCGTAGAATATATAGCTATTATATACTGTTTAAATATTTCATAAGGAATTTTTATAAGTAGATTTTTTTTTATTTTTTTCATTAATTCATTTGAATGCCTTGTAACTATTTTCCATTAAGCTAAAAAAATAAATAAAAAAAGCTCCTGTAGTAAGAAATGTAGAATTCTTGTCAATCTACTTTATTCAAAAATTTTTTACTTTGTTGAATAAAGTAAATTGCTGAAAATTTCTGATGATGGAGTATGTTCATATGTAAATTTTATAATGTTTCTCAATTTATGAATTTAAGTAAAAACTTAATCTATAAAATATTATTTTCTTATTTTTAAGTTATTTTGTAAAATATTCTTGTTCCTTCATAATCATTTTGTTTCTTATAAAGAATGTCTTTTAAAAAAATTAACAAAAATAATAAAAATCGTGTATATTCAATATAATCTTTGGTGATATGAAAATTACATTTATGTGTACATACAGGATTGAAATCGCTAAATCAAAACAAAGCATTTTTGCATTGTAATTTATTTTTCCGTTAAAATAATATGTGAATATTCTTAATTTGTATAGATAATAACTTAATTACTTTATGTAGGTACACTATTCATAATATTGTTACCCAATATTTTAATTATATTATTAATGCTAACAATAACAACTGCCAATAGAATTAAAATGTTAAAATGATTTTATTATCACTATATTATTAATACGATAATTAGAATTTGAAAAAAATATTCGCATATAAGCTATTATATCCAAAAATTTATAATGTTAAAAATATTGAACTTCCAAATTTAATTTTATTTCTGAAATATCTTTCATTTTAAAAAATGTTTTTTAAAATTGTAAAAAAATTAACTTATAATTTCAATAATTGTAAAAGAATTAACTTATAATTTCAACATTTTTTGATCTTACCAAATTGATTTAGAATTATTTGGAGCAATTTTAAAACTTTAAATATTCCTCATTTCAAAATTGAAGCAATGCGACGGCGTATGTATATAAAATTTTTAAATTGCCCAAATGAAAAAATTTATGTTAAAAAATACCTTTTTGAAAAAGTATTTTTCATTAGTACAATTTATTAGCCTTTTGACTCTTGGTGCAACAGAAACTTTGCACTATAAGAAGCAAAGGATTTAGTGCAATAGCACCCTGACTACATTTTTTACTTTAAATTGTGGAAATTTAATATTTTTAAATATTTATCTGTCCTATTTTTTTAAATATATATTACAATAGATTAGAAAATCGTTTTAATAATTCTAAATATGTATTTAGTTTACGTTTGAATTTCAAGAAGAAAAAGAAAATAAATGATCATATAAGCTATGTACTTGTCAACATATATAATTATTAAAATTTAAATTAAGTGTAAAATTATTATATTTGTATTATTCATTTTAAAAGTAGGTTACTCTTCATAATCAGATGTGCATATATACATACATATATAAAAAACTCATCTATAAATTTAAATATTTTTGTCCATTGATACTTTTTTTGATTAAATGTAATGTTAAAAACTAACCTTAAAAGTGCCTTAAAAATTAATTGATTGTAAAACAAATTTTTTTGTATATATATTTGTATAATAATGTATAATTTAGTACTATTTTTCGAAATAAACTATAAAATTTTACTTATTTCCTAAAGGTGTACCCAAATTGTTTATTCTATTCAACGTCTAATTGCATGCTCTATGGTTCATATAGTTAACATTTTGAAGATTTCCTTGCTTCAATCAAATTTAATGTGATGATTTTCACTAAAAAAAGTTTTCGCATAGAAAAGTAAAAAAAATTTTGTGAGTAAACAAAAATAAAAAGTTGCAGAATTTTTCAAGGTGTCATTCGGATAGTAAACATGTATTTGAATGAATTTGAGTATTGTTTCAAGCTTATTTTGGCAGTTTTTCTCAGATATTTTTTTCAGATCGAATTTTCAAAAAAATTTGCGTTTTATCGATTAGCAGGCATCGATTCAGGTAAAGGCTTAAAGCCAGAAAAAAAACTTATATTAAGTAGGTTTAGATATCAATTTTTAGTGCCAAATTTGGCATAAAAAATTTTAGTTTTGGATTGAATTTTTAAAAGATCGAGTTTTAAAAGCGCATTGATAAAATAGTGACAATGATTTTATTGTGCGATAATACATAAAATATTACATTTATTTTATTCTATAAATGCCACAGATTCTCTTATTGTAAATATTAAAACGCAAGTTGGCTTGATAATTTTCTTTTTTCTTATTTTAATTTATTTTCATATCTGTATGTTATAATTTAAATGAAATTAAAATGATGTTTTTTTTAGTTCATATATGGTTGTTTTCAATAATTTAATTCAAAGTTATTTTATTGAAAAAAAAAGGTCTCTATAAAAAAATAAGTTTTGTCTCATAATCTTTTTGCTGAATTTTAAAATAATGAATGAACAGATTGTATTAATCCTAACATATACTTTGATGTTGTCAAAAAATAGTTAGTTATTTTATTCAACTTATTTTAAATTGTTTTTTTTTTTTGTAAAACAGTGAGTATAAAACATATTAAATCTGACATCCGAACTCATATTTCAATTGCATAACAAATGTTTCATACTTTTTATTAATATAATACGTTAACAAAATTTACCAGATAGGTAATTTTCAGAAATAGAACTTAACTGGGTTATTTTTTAATTTTTATCTTGTAAAGAATTTTAATATTTTACAATAAATTTAAATTTTATTCATGAATCTTCACATGTTTGGTATAATTGTGAATATTAACTGAAAACCACGCCATTGTGAATTATGGACTCTGCTGAAATAATTAGAACAACAAAAAGTCGTTTGTAAAACTCAACTGTCAAATGAATTGTCAAGTCGGCCATTATTATATTTTTCTTATGAAGGACGACGAAGCTTCAAAATAACAAAAAAGTTGAAAGATAAAATCTATTTGTGAATTTTATTTATCAAAAAATATAACTTTTTTTAAATAATTTAGATTAGAAACTAGAATATTTTATAAAAATGTATTCTTATAATATTTTTATAATATAATGTGAGATATAAATTTTAGAAACATTTAAGAAAAGCTTTGCGAATTAATTGAAATTTTTTTCAAATGGTATGTAAACAATTGATTTGAGTATCGAATTGTAAATTTTTATATATAAATGTATTAGGCAACAATATTTTGTAATTAAAATTTAATTATTATATTATACCGTTTTATATATTAAGCATCGATAGAGTTTTTTTTCAAATCATAAAAACAGTACAAAAGTAAATTTTTAAAATCGATAAAAATTATAAATGTTAATTTATTCTTAATGGCGTATGTGAAGTTTTAAATATGGAAGGGTATACCTGAATATAAAATATTTTTTTAATTTTAGAGGACAAAATTCATTGTGTTTATTATAAAATATCTTTGATAAGAAAAAATAAATTGGAATTAAAATAGTTCTTACCAAATTATTTAGGAAGATTTACATGTGTTTACTGATTATTTTTACCCACAAAATATACCTACCTAAGACTTGGACTATTAAAAGGTGAAAAGAAAAGCGAATCAGTAAACTTATCAATAATTTTTTATCATTCTTTTTCTTATAATGTAAATATTAACTTATGTTTGCAGATAAGAATGATTTTGTGAGGCTATTTAAATTATATTTGGAAAAAATGATTTCTAATACTGTATGTATTTAAATTTATAATTCAGCTGTTTCTAAGAATTTTTGAGACACTTTATCTGTTTTCAACCTTCTATACTATATTGCTTCCTTTTCTATTTTTTTTGTTTTTATCAGTGACAAAAATCTTTCCAATAAGATAACGTTTTCAAACATTTCCGGACCCAAACTAAGGTGGCTTAAATGTAGTACCTACGAATCTATTTTGAATTTTATTTGAAGAACTGGTTAGATTTTTATCACCTATTCGAAAAATATTGATTCCCACTTTTTTATAAGCATCTTTTTTAGCTATAAATATATAAAGTTAATTTTTTATCAGCTCAGGATTTGTTTTGTTGGTATTTTTGTTTCATTTCCATTTTTATTGTGAAAAATTGACAATTCGTTTTTTATTTGAAAATTTACTTATTACCACAGATATGTTCCTACTACGTTATATTTTGTTCATTTATACGATTTAAATTCAAACGAAATCAAAATATGTAATGTTCCTAAAATTGATAATTATTTCCCAGATTTTTTGTTTTTTACATACTAAATAATTATAAATAATAAATCTAATATTCATTAAATTAAACTTTTTTTTAGGTACCTATGCAACTGGAAATTTGCTAGATTCGCACAAATCAAAATTAAAATGAATTTTCATAGTAAAAAAAATAGTTGAAAAGTTAAAAAAATTTATTAATTTCCTAGTTGAATTCAAAATAGTAAGAGGAAGTGGATATAAAAAATATAAAAGTGCAATAGTATCTACAACGCTAGAAATTAAGAAATAAATTCTGAATGAAGATTTTTGTTTCTATTTAGACCACTTTAAAAAAATTTATTTGCCATGGCTATGATGAAAAGCCTTATTTTTAATTATAAGTTGAAAGAGTTTAGAGAGGTTTCATATCCCATTGAATTTAAAAGTGAGGATGTCTGTTTAATATTATGTAAAGAAAATCGTATACTACCTACAGTACGTGTTTTATTTCAATTACGCATTTGTGATACTGAACATTGGATACCACCTGGAGAACCTTTGAAACCATATACAAAATATGAATTTCGCATAAGATTTAGAATTCCAGAATTAATCTCATTAAAAAAATTAGATGAAATAACATATGATTATTTTTATCATCAAGCTCGTTTTGATATGGTAATGGGAAAAATTGATGAAATTAAATATCCAACACATAAAGATCGTGTTCTAGGTATTTGTGTAGTTGATACATATATAGATATGATCGAAAAATGTATGTCAATTGAAGATATTGAAAAAAATTACAAAAAATATATACCAAAAGAATTATTAAAAATTCATAAATTATTTGCCAAAAGAAAGTTATTTGCTGGATTAAGGCACATAAAAGAATCAAGCCATGATTTGTTTTATGTTAAAGGATCATACTTAAATACAATCTACGATATGGCACCAAACTATTTGATTGAACAATATGAAGGCAGGGCAAATTATTTACCTGAAGATAATTTTAAAGATGGACGTTGCCCTGTTTTAATAGAATTCAATCCACACCATGAATCTGAGCCAGGATTAAGAGTTTTTTATCGCTATAAAGGAAAATGGCGACATATTGTGAAAATCGATCAAATATATGTAATTTCTAAAAGCTTTGCACAACAAGAGAATTGTGTCAGATTAGAAGTAGGAGATTTACCAAATGGATATACATTAGAGTTTTTCAATTCAAATGATAGAGATTCATTTATTACATGTGTAGCTGGCTACTATAGACTGATGGTGAGATGGAACACCGATTTATGTTTTGAATTCAAAACTCCTTCATTAACTGAGTTAAAAGAATTAAAATGTCATGGACCAGTTGGTGGAGATTTTTCATATGGACAAATAAGAGAAAAAAATAATAACCCGGGTTCATACATCATAAGGCAAAGTGAAAGGGAATATGATACTTATTATATAGACATAAATACAAGAATGTTAGTTGATTATTATATTTATAAAACGTTAATGAGAAAGAATATTTTAATTTTTTTTAGAGCGCATACCGAAACTCTTAAAATTACTCGAGATAGCAAAAAATGGTACCTGCACTCACAGGAAACTAAAAGACCATTTGAAAAATTGACTGATCTAGCATTAAGTATTGAAACAAATTCTGATAAATTTCGTATACCACCTTCTGATTACGATCAAACCCCATTGCTTTTAATATGTTTACCTAAAAGCCAAATCAAAGCTAAAAAGGCGGTTGACGAAAGTCTTAAAGAGGAATTGCAACGAAAACGTGTACAAGTATTCGATCCAAAAATAGATTTATGTGTGTACCAAAGTAAGTTAAATAAAATTTTCGTTTATTTGTGCTTTCTATAGACATTTTCTATTTAAGACACGGCAAAAGACTGTGAAGGAGGGATGATGGAAGAAATGAAAGCGGATTGGGTTTTAGTGAACCAACATTTGAAAGTTACTCTCAAAATCTTAAAATCGGAGAGGCATGTTGCAGTAAGTTATTGTTAAAGTAGATGCTGTTCAATACTAGTTTTTTTTTTTATTAAACAAGGATTTTATGAAATTGGCAAATACTTGGGGGAAAATGTACTCACATGAATTTTTGAAATTGTATGGAATAACACTCTCTACGCCCTACGCTATGATAATGGAATATGCAAAGAGCGGGCCTTTAAATGAGTTTTTACAACGAAACACAAATATACCATTAATTTGTTTATTAAATATTGTTCATACTCTCGTCAGGGCTATTGTTTACTTACAGGAAAATAAATTTTTTCATGGTTTCATTAGGTGCTGCAATCTTCAAGTTATTAAATATGATGCAAAAACCAACGAAATTGTTGTAAAGTTGGCCGATCCAGGATTTCCAAAAAAATATACTAGAAAGGAGTAATATAATTGATATTTTGCGTTCAAGAAATTTTTTTGCTAAGAAATATATGTTTTTAGTTTACCTTGGATTCCATTAAATTACCACAACGATTTGGAAAGAGCTAAAAAAGATTTGAGTTCAGAATTCTGGGCATTTGCAACCGTTTTGTGGGAAATATTTTCATATGGTGCCCCTGTTGATCTTTTTGATACAAACGGATTGCAAAGAAATCTTCGTGAAACTGGTTCTATTTTACCTCTTCCTGAGAACTGTCCTGAAGATATGAAAATAACAATAATGGATGGTTATTGCTTAGACCCTGAACAGAGGTTCAACAGGCAGTTAATTTTCTCACGACTTTCTGCCATTAAAGAAGAAAATTATAGTAATTATGATACGCCTCTTACAGAAACAACATCTTTAGATACTCAGTCAACGAGATCAAGTGAAGGATCTCGAACAACAGGCCAAACAACATGTGATAATTGTAGTGAACCAAGTTCATGCTCTGATTTTTCTACTTGTGACAGAATACCATTAATTCATAACTCTAGACAACGTCACAATTCACATAATGGTTGTGTTAATCAATTCAATGGCTTTCCAACATCTGCTAGTTATTTTGCTGATACTCCATTGGCAACTCAATTGAGTGATGGTAGTACTGTAGTGCAATATGAAAAAATAGGCGAAGGTCATTATGGCACAGTATATCGTGGCGTTATTCATTATAGTCATAACAGAGGTTCAAAAAAAGTTGCCATAAAAACATTAAAACCTGATTTTCATAAGCATTTATCAGAAGACTTTGAAAGGGAGATTAATATTATGAAGGTGAATTTAATTTATATTTATTTTTAAAATTAAAAGAGCGTGAATTACTTATGCAATTTTTTTCTTCTCTAGTCGCTTGATCATCCAAATATAGTAAAAATATTGAAGTGGAATAAGAGACCACAAATCTCTATTATTATGGAATTCGTAGAGTGCGGATCGTTTATAATATATCTATCGTCACAAAAACCAAATTTGACCAATGACATTCTATTAAATTTTGCACTCGATATTGCTAATGTAAAGTAAATGACACAACAATCGAACAACTATTTAATACAATTAATTTTCAGGGTATGCACTATTTAAGAGAAAAGAAGATAATTCATAGAGATTTAGCAGCAAGAAATATTTTAGTTGACAATGATTGTGTTAAAATTTCGGACTTTGGCTTAGCTCAGTATGCTGATTCAGAAGGATATTATCTTGTTAAAAGTGATAGAGCAATACCCATTATATGGTACTTAATTTTTTTTTATCTCACTTGATGAACAGAAAATGAGATGCAGAATGAAGTATATTTCAAAAAATTTTTATAAATTTTTTCCGTATATTTATTTTTTAGGTATGCACCAGAAACAATTCGAACAAATAAATTCTCATTTCAATCTGATGTCTGGTCGTATGGCGTAACATTATTCGAAATGTTTTCAAGGGGAGAAAAGCCCAATTTAATACCGAATAAAGAAGTAAATCAAGCTGAATTTTTAAATTTGCTTGAAATTGGGCAAAGGTAAAAAAAAAACCAATTATAATATATAGAAGAAAATAAATAAATAAAATATTTTTATTTTTAAAATACAAGGTTACCTAAACCGATAATCTGCCCAGATAGTGTTTATGAACAGTTAATGCGGCCATGTTGGTATGCTAATCCTAAAGAGAGGCCTACATTTAAGGATATCATCGAAACAATCAAGAGACTTCAAAATGAAAATGGCGAATTTTTAACGTAGGATTCTTTTCAAACAAAAATAAATTCATGTAAAACAAACATACAAGTATATAAATACTACTTTAATTAAAATAAAACCTAAATATAAATATTTTATAAGTTATATTTTTTAGATGTGAATAAGTTTGATTGTTTTAGCATATTCTTTATTGTATATATATATTTCTTTTTTAAGAAGTATATATTTTTTATATTTTTAGTCAAACATTATATGTTTATGTTAAGAAAAAAAATATATCTGTAGATAAAATCGCTTAAAAAAATAATAAATGTTAATTATTAATGTTAATTGGTATAATATGAATTATGTAGTGTTCTAACATTTAATTATGCAAAAAGAAAAAAAAATTAAATTTAATTAGTTATTTTAAAAGAATGTTTTTTAAAGATCATATTAAATGCTGTTTTTTCTTTAAGCAAACGTGAAATTAATTCTGTTTAAATATATGAATTAATGACTAAATATATGTAAATGTCAAACAATAGTATGAATGTACAATTTTTATTTGTTTTTAAAGACTACTTAGTTGCATACTTATTAGACTTTTTAGATATTTCCATTAAAATTTAAACAAAATACTATTTTGCCAATATTCTTTGTTACCATCCTTTTTCCTATAGTTTAAGGTCAGCTTTAACAAGTAAGGAAAGTCAACTAATTGAATAATATTCATATTAATTGAGGTTTATGTATCTTTATTTTGTTAATTTCTTCATATTTTAAATGAACATCAGTCTTTCCAGAGAGTCACACAAAATATTTCACTGGAATTATAATTACAAATAACACTTTTAAATCTTAATCTTTTGATATTGGGAGTTTTTGTTAAAATTATTTATGTTTTTTCATGCATATTCCTTCTCAAACATTTTCAATTGAGACTGAGCCGTTTATATGTTCATTATTTATTAGTTTGGCTTCCTCCTTGAAAACAATGTCAGCAGTTGTTAATTCATCCTTTTTTTCATTGCTTTCTGAAACCGTTGTTGGAGAACTAGTTTTTATTGAATTTTTTATTTGGGCCTTATAAAGAACATTTAACTCAAACACGTCAACATCAGTTGATGGTTCCTTAAAAAAAAATATATGGCATTTATTTTAGTAATTTCTAATTTAACTGGTATCACAATCATTACTTTTTTCAAAGCTGTGTCAGGAACTTGTAAATGATATCCTTTTTTACACAGATCTATCAGAAGCTGTAATCCCTGTTTCTTTTTATCACCACTGAATTTGGTTACCCAAGCATCTAACAATCGATTATAATATCTTGGTCCCTCAAGGTACTTTAAAAATTCGTATGAATTTTCACTAGGAAATATTCTTTCCAATGGTTTGCTTCGAGCTAATTCATCTTCTGTAATTATTAAACACCGTACATCATCAGGGGTTAAATCATCAAGTATTGTATCTAAATACTAAAAAATTTAACAAAATATTATGCCTTAATTTAAAAAGTAATATAAATTTTTACTTCATCTCTGTACTCAATTTCTCTGTTAGTGTATTGATTATGCTTTCTAACTTCATCTTGAGACAAACAAGTTGTAAAAATTCGTAAATCATAACAGAGTGGACCGTTTATATTGTATTCCGCTTTAATTAATTTTTCGTGTTGCTGTGAGAGTTTTGGAGGTACCTAAATAAATACAGAAAAATATATTGAAAACCTTGTTTTAATAAAAATTTCCAAAATTTTTAAAAATTTTTACCTGATATAAAACACTATTTAAAACTGCTTGGATCAATGGACCCTTAACATGTTGATCTAAAGGCAAATCTGAATGCAATGATGGCGAAATATTGACCTCCAAAAGCCAAGGTATTAAATTTTCATCAAGTAGCACATCAAAACCAAATAATTCATAACAGTTATAGCGGCTATTTACATTGGCCTTAAACATGCGATTTAGGCAGCCTTCACCGCCTATTACAGTTTTAATAACTAAGTTTCTTAATGCCCCCCATAATTTTGTTGTATTAATTCCACGTTCTAGAAAATAATTCCACAAGGATTTTAACGTCCATTTATGACCTTGGCAAGCATTGTGATCTTCGTTTTTAGCATAATGTGTTGAAAATTTGTTAATACTATAATTGGTTAAGTGCATGCATCTGTCTTTTAATGAATGAATGTCGTCTCGGTATTGCACTAAAATATAATAATTTTAAATTCATTTCGATATATTTCGCCTCAACTAATTACCTGAAGCAAAACGAGCTAAACCATCTGTATGCATAAAAACCCTTAAGGGATTTATTGAAGTTATAATTATATATAATCTTAAATCAAATTTATTTCCGTTTATTAAAAGAGGGCGTTCAATATATCTAGAAGAGGTTTTATCTGATATAGTTTATCTTTATTATAGAACAAGATATTTTATACTTTTGTACAATAAGAGGTTTTTGTTTAGGGAAATCAGTCCATCGACTAACAACTTTAATACCAGATCCTCTTGCACTAGCTGGAGGTTTGATAATCCATTTTGTTCCCTTTTTAGCATGCTTAGGCCATGATTTTTTTAGAGCTTCTAAGTCTTGTGGCAAGACAAAGGACCTGCAATATTTGCCTTTCTTTAAAATACAAAATTTAAGCAAGTATGTCCATTAAATACTTTTGCATGAATCCAAACTCCTTTTTTCCGAATTTTGTAATAAAATGTTTAATATTGCGCCAGACGCTGTCTTTGCGACCTATCTTAAATGTTCCTGGCAGATGATTATATTTTTGATGTGATTTTATAGCTTTAAAACAAGGACTTTTCATATGTTTTTCCCAAGATGCCATCCAATCATTGGTTTCTGTTTAAAAAAAAAAAAGAAAACGTAAAATACGCCTTTCGTTTTGAAGAAAAAAATAATAAATTTTTTTTGAAATTTGATATTACTTTTTATTAAACGAAACCCTGAATTTGCAACCACTCTGCGCACCACTTTCGGCATTACTATACTGAAACGCCACTTTAAAACTCTTTGAAGTTCGGGAAGAACTGGAGGTCCTTTTTCAATATGTGATGAGAATGTTAAATAAGGAGGTACTAAGGGAAATAAACTCGGAGTTAATATAGAATTTGGTGTATAATATTCAGATGGCGTTGGAATATGAGGAGATGATTCTGATAAATGTAGGGTCGCATCTGCACTGCTGTTAATTACGTTATTTTCTGTTTTAACTACGCATTCTGATTCAATTTTATCTTTTGCATTTAACAGGGTGTTAATAGATTCGGCGGAATTATTTCTCTTTTCAAATAATTTTATTGGACTTTTGCTCTCTAATAATTTATTAAATTGCTCTTCTTCAGGATTTAAATAATATGTGCATCCGATATATTCATCATCTGAATCATCAGTTGAATCCACATCTTCAGCAGTATCAATAACTATGAAAATAAAATAAATTTTATTATTTGCCGTTGTTTAATAGAATTATTTGGTAAACTTACCACCTAAAAACTCATCATCATCATAATAACTATCGTTATCATCATCATCAACATTTTCTAATGTGTTAACTTGAACATCGGCATTAAAAGATGGTATAGTTTTGTTTTTGATATTTTTTTTTTCTTGTTGATTAGCGAAATCTGTTTTAGCAACACTTGTATTTCGCCCACAATTTCCTGTTTGAACAGAGGTACTAATATTATTTTGAGAAGTATGTGTGGAGGCAACAGAACGAATAACTTCACCATTTATTGTTGGCCGTTTAACACTTTCTTTATCAATATTCTTATTTTTATTGTTATCAATGTAACTTGTAGATTTCCCATTTATGTGGATAGATTTAGATTTTAGTGATGGAATATTTACTAAAACATTATTACTTGCTGCTAAATTTTCATTATTTTCAGTTTTTCCGCTACAATTTTGAGTATTTTGCAATATAATATTGTTATTTTTTATTGAGTTAATAACAATTTTGCTTTTGTCCGATTCCTGAGTATTAAGTAAGCTTAGATGATAAGGATTGACAATAATATTTTTCGTCAAAGAAGCTAAATTTCCAATATCATTCGCCTGACCATTTGATATTATATGATTAAGGTTTTTATGCTGATGCTGATGGTTAATAAAATTAGAATGGGATGTATCATTTGAAATACCTTGCTGCAGTTTTGTATTATTATATGATGATGAACCATTTATTATTTGATTATTTGTTGTTATTATTGGTGTTACAATATTTTTCGAGTTAAAGGAATGATAGTGGGGAGTTTGTGAAGGCATGTAATCTTTCTTAGTTTTATCGATAAACATTTCTATATTTGTGTTAATTATAATATCAGTGTCATCCTCTCTTGCACGTTTAAAAACCAACTGAATGTTGTTTAAAACAGCAATGCAACATATATATATATATAACATAAACGAGGAAAAACAAAGGAAAAAAAATATGATGTTAAAACATGTTCAAAAAATTAACTAAATAACATTAACTACACATGCTATAAACTAAAGTATAAATTTATGAAAAACATTTCCATTGTAATTGAAAATAAGATTAAGTTATTTCATTAAATAATACATTAAACAAAAGAAAGAAACCAATATTTTAAAAAACTTATGTGGAAACATTTGAATTAGGTGTTTTAGAACAGGAAAATATTAGAAAATTAATAAATTTTCCAATATTAGAATGGAAATTTTGCTAAAATTCATTAATTTGTTCATTCGTTTGTAAAGAAAAGATTTGTAAGCTTTAAATATTTGTTAATAAGTGATAAATAAATATTTGAAGTTTTTCTGAATGGAATCTAAAAATAAATGAAATAAACTAAAAATATCGAAAATAAACAATTCAATTTGTTTAAGGCCAGACTATATAGAGACAAAATAAAACTAAAATACATTGACGTTTTCACGCTATTCTAAAATTGTAAAAAAATTTGCCAAAAAGCATAATTTCACTAAAGCTTATTTGTTTACAATTAAATTATCATTCGAATATTGGTTTACTGAGCATTGATAAAATTTTTTTTTTGGCAAACTAATTTAAAGGACTGACTTGGTAACAAGTATTAAAAATAACAATTAATATTATTTAAATTTATTTTTGAATAGCGATTTCCCTGACCTCTTAGGAATTCTATTCTATTTGTTAGAAACGTTATGTACAAAAAATAAGCACAGTAGCGCAAGATTAAATTTTCTATTTTTTTTTTGTTTATATGCTATAATATGAGCACATACTTTGTTTTGATTTATTACATCATTATTTACTTTGATTTTTTTAAACACAAAAAACAAAATTATTAGTCAGAAAATCGTTAACGTTTAAGTGAGTGAAATTTTCCATTGTTTTAAATCCTTTGATTTTTCATATTTATTTAAATATTTGAAAGAAAATAATTTTAGGTAACGATTTAATGATAAGTAGAAATGAAAAATATTTAATACATTCATCATTTTCTGCTTATGATAAATACATAATATGAACATAATTCATAATAAAAGAAACAAAAAAATTGTTACCCCATCTTCTGGTTCATGAAAATTTTTTAATCTCGCATCACTTTCTGAATCACTTTTAGTGCGAGCTCTGCGTTTAGAGGATTCTGTAGGCTTGTTTGCAACACTTGTCAAACATCCATCTACAGTATGCAAATGATTATGAGTTGTTAATAGAGTTGGAGGACTTTTAATATGGTCCTTATATGTCTTAAAATAAAAAGCATACAATTTTATATCAAAATTCTTGGTTTGTAAAAAATCAATAAAGAAATTATTTTTAATTAAATAAACATACTTCCACATCTTGTAACCATGATTCCCGGAAGTCTAAAATTTCTGGACCAATTCCACGACCATTTTGTGATGGATTTTTTCCCGTTGTTGTTACCGAAATATTTTCTTTTGCATTTTCCTTTATTGTTGGAGAATGTTTTTCACTAATTGGTGCCATTTTACTACAATTGTCACGTTTATTATATTTGCTACTATTTGATTTCTTACAAATATAATTCCTTTTTTTATTACTAATAGTATTTTGTACTAAATTCGAATTGTGTAGTCTTAATAAACTATCTTTTGAAATTCCAATGCTATATGTTGGATCCGAATAGCTCCGCAAGTAACTTAGTGTTCCGTATGACTGATAGAAATCCATTTGCAATTAAAATTAAATATTTGAGAATCTAAAAAAAGATTTTTTGTATTTTTTTTTTATCATTATCTTTATATCAATAAGTATTTAATTAACATAACAATTAAAATAGATATTTTAGTGTGCAAGAAAAGAAAAAACGTATTAAACTATTTAAAAAAGAGAATGAAAAGACAAAAAAAAAAATAAAACTGAAAAAAAATTGCATACAAATTACAAGTAAACCCTAAAATTTTATGTGGATTAAATTTTTACATGACTAACTAATTGATGGTGATTAGATGGTTCGATTTTTTCATTTTTTTTAGTTTAGATGTTATTGAAGTGTGTGTATATGAATATATATAAAAAGAAATGAAATAAACAATTACAGAGATACTTGTTGAAATATATCGCAAGTAAATTGGCAAATTAATCATATTTTATTCATTAGGGAAAACAGCAATTACAAAATATGCATAAGTAGATAATTGAAAAATGCAATTAGAATGTTTTGAGTTCTCTTATTTATCTATGAAATTTTTGCCTTGTTTATTGGTATTGAAACTAATGATAGGAATCTAAGGATAAATCAATATGAACTGTATTTATGGTGTCCTTATCCCTTTAAAATAAAATAAAGAAAAATTTTTAGTATTTTTTATTAATTTAATTTTTAATGTCGGCAATTAAAGTTTTATTTTAAAAGTTCTATTAATAGATTAACTTAAACGAAAACAATTAAAATAATATTACAAATACAAATGTGAATATTCAAATAAGTGGGTGGTGATGCGATAAAAAAAAAGTAGAATTGGGTCAATATAATATCGATTTGTATTTTGTATCACCTGTTGAATCAAATGCAGTTCAAGAATTCGGTACAAAAATTTTGTATTTTGTAAAAAAACATATATAACAGGTGCTTACATATGTAGATACTTACATGCTTACATATGTAGATAAATTGCTATTTTCACTATACAGATTTATGTACGAGTTAGTTTTTGTAATCCAGTACTTATGGATGTGTAATTGAAAAAAATCAATTATTGTAATGTAGATTATTAAAAAATTTGCTAAAAAATTGTAGAGTACATATTATGTACATTCATTCATAGATGTTTATTAATTAATTTAAATTCAATTTTTTAATGGAACAATGAAATGTAGATGTCTTCAATTTTATCGGTAGCTAGGTAGGTACATAGGTACTTTTTATATGAAGTAATTAAGAAAAGTGAAACAAAAAATTAAACTTTAATAAATTTTTAACACCGTACCTCTCTCTTTTTAATAAAGATTGTATTTTCGGATTTTATTACTAATTCCAAATCGCAATTAATGAAATTTAGACCTAATGTAAGGTAGACACTAATAAAGTTTTGGATAATATGTAAGAAGTTAAAATGTTAAATTTTTAATATCAAATATAAGTGCATAGAAATTGAATGTTAATTTTGTCCCAGATTATTGTGTTTGTTTCCTGCTATTCTCCAAACAGCCATTTTAGTTAATTGGCAATAATTATTTTATTAATTAATAAAGCAACTTACAAAAATTTATGTTAATGTAAATTTAGGAATTTTAGTTGAATAATGTTATTTGAACGTAAAGTATAATTTTAATTGATTTGAAATGAAAAAAAAAGCGGTTCAAACAAATTGTTTCAAACCAAGCACAAGCCTAACACCAGTCAATTTCACACTCAGTCTTAACCTTACTTTCATTTTTTTGTGTAATTATGTATATAGCATTTATATTATTTTCCACTCAATTAATTTGTTCCTTGAATTTTTGTTGTAAAACAATTTATATGATCTCTCTATTTCTTTTTATTTTAATTTAATTAAAATATTTAAATAAAAAAATATAAATATATTTTATTGGTAAAATATCAATAAAATTTAAATATAGTCGGAAAAAATTCTTACCCATTTTTTGCTCTTTGAAATTTTCTATTCTTAAAATCACCATACAAAAATTTTTATTGCTGCTTTTTTTAATCAAAAAATGTGATTTTACTTTTTAAATATAAATAAGGAAAATATTAATAGTTTGTTGACCTTACAACGAAAGTAAAGAAATTTTTTTGCAACAAAAAAAAAATTGTAAAATTTTGTCAACAAAAAAATTAAATTTAGATTTTGTAAACGTCAAAACTCTAGAAAAATGTCAAGATACAATGTGCTGCCATTGTTTGAGGGTTTATTCCAAGGGCTTTCCAAATATTAAGTTATAAAATAAAATAGTAGATGTCGCTTTACTAATTTCAAAAATTTTGATTGAATCGGAATGAGTTACGAAATTGGAAGTTTGACGTTAGTTTAATAAATAAAAAAAAAATTATAGAAATTTAAAACTGTGCAACAAGTGATACAAAAATAATATTTCAAATAATTTATGTATTTATTATTTTATTAAATTTATCTTTATAAAAAATTTTTTTCTTATAAATTCATGAATGCTAAAGATATAAAAATGATAAATTTTGCAAATTTAAATTTCGAAAATTATAATGCAAATACAGCGTACAAACAATTGTGTTCAATAAAATGCTAGATCTAGGAAACGAGTACATCTAAGAACAATAAAAAGGAGATCTCAATTCCAAAAATTTAGAAATCTAAATAATGTGTGAACAAAGATACACAATTGAACAACATTCCACATATGTATGTATGTAATTTCTGAAGTAATGTCAGGCCCAATATTTGATACTATTTTGGGTATTGGTGAATTTGAAAAATTACTGAATCTTTGAAAACAACTTAAGCAAGAAACGGATAGTAAAATGCAGTTAACATAATTTACTTTTTCGTTTGGTTTGTAATGAGCTCCATGAACATTCATTATGTGTAAATTGAAATTCTAGTAAAATTGTTAAGTTTACATATACATATATCTAAATATTGATGTAATAATGTTGGAATATGTAATCTGATATTGGAGCTCTAACCGATGTGAGACCTTTCAGATATACATAAGTAAAATTAAAAGAAAAAAAATAAATTTTTAAAAATATTTTCGCAAACTATTTTAAAAATTTGTATATGTAAACATAATTGTACAAACATAGATATCAGGTCGCTATTTCCGTTATCGAAAATTTATTATGGTATTTGAATTATCTAGCAAAATTACAAAAAATTCATAAGTAGTATTATGAATCACAAATCAATTATTTCCTCATGAGTAGGTAGGTACGTCATTTTTGTTATGAGTATATCTGTACAGATGATATATACATATTCTCTATATCTACAATTCTTTAATTAAAATTATTATTATGTATGACTGTGTATATTCTACACTTTTTCCAACATTTTGGAAATTTATGCATAATAAAAGAATTTTAGAATATGAAAATAAACAAAAAAAGAAAAACAAAAGAAATTCATCTGCTCAAAAATTTTGTTTATTTGAAGCAACGAGATTCTTGACAGCTAATTTAAAAATCATAAAAATACAAAAGCAATGTGTAGATAAGAAATAATGGGTATTCTTGGTGTTTTGAATTATTTTGTACACTCATAATCAATAAACAAAGTCAGTCAAGAATTATAAACCTGAATATGAAATGATCTTTTTAGAGACGTAACTAATAAAAGCCACGCAACAATAAACAAGAATGTTAAATTTAATTTAGTTTTAACCCGACTCAACCCTTAAATAGAAGAGTCTGATATGTTACACAAACTGAATCTTTTCGAAAATGTTGATGGAAGTCTTAGGTAGATGGAACTTTTAGTTGATATAGGCACAAACTTTATTTTAAATAACTATAGCTCATCTGAAATTTCATAAAAACCGAAAAGAGGTTTGTAAAAAAAAAATGAATAATTTTTTTTATTTCTTATCAGAAGGTGTTTAGAGTTGGCAAAACCATCAGTAAAAAGCTTTGAAATTCGTTTGTTTAAATGTTTACTGCTGCAAGCAACAGAAGGAACTACTAAGTCATCTATCGATAAAATTTACCATGCAAATTTAATAAGACTCTGTTTAAAATTTCTTTCAGAGGCAAACTTTAGAACTTTCCGTCACCTTATAAATGATATATCACATGGTGATTCTCTAAGCTTTAACTTTTTTCAGTTTGTAACATTAATACAAACAGAGTGTAAAATTTATAATATTCATCAAAAAATATTCTGATTTAAGTAATCTAATAATAATTATTTTGTTGTAATATCGAAAATATTTCATTCAAATTTCTGTTTTAATTAGATTTCACTTAAGTATGTATGTACATACATGGGCTATTTATTTTTGTTTCTTTGTGTGCTATATTTAGATTCAAATTTCAATCTTTTTTTCTCTTTAATAAAAATTGTTGGAAACTGGATTTTTTTTTGACCATACTCATTATTATCTACGCAAAATTATTTATACAACTCGTATTTTTAAAATGATCGTGAAAAAGAAAAAATATTAAGGATAGTGTAGTTTCCAATCAAATATTTCCACACTCGCTCATTACATGGGATATAGTAAAATAATTTATACCATATACATTTGAAATTATTTAAAATACTATGTGGGTATTGATTAGCATGTATGGGAAGAATTTATGTTCTAGAGCTCTGATGAATTTTTTAATAAAATTTTTTATTTAAGTAGCTAATAAAAACACAAGTATATTGTATGCTTTATTAAGTATATGAGTGATGTAGTTCTGTTTTTTGTTTTATAGTAGAAGTAATTCAACTATTAACTATTTCGCAGATGGCTCCTTTGTTAGAAAACGAAATAAATAATAAAAAATTGCTAATAAATCAAAATTAAGTTTTTTTTTTCACTTAAATTTCTTTTTAAAAATAAATTCATTCATATTTGAGGAATTTCTTTATTTTAGATATTTAAGTATGAAAAGTATTTGTAGTTAAAACAGAAAAAAAAAACAATTAAATTTTCTATGTTTGCATGTGTATAAAATTCATGTTTTTTTGTGGTACATGGTCTTTGAATGAGAGTCCCGACATACTTATAAGCTTAAAATATAATTATAAATATGCTTATAAAAGCTTAAAATATAATTATATCACGTTATAAAAGTTAAAGTGAGGCTTTTGTTTTAATATAGAATTCCTGATAACTTGATTTTGTAATTGTTTTGAGTATTGTATATAAATAAGTATAGTTAAATATGGCTCCTTGAACTAGCCGTTTTGCCAATATATGAAAAAGCATTAATACGATCATTCATCTTAATCATAAACTCAAAAATTAAGTTTTTGTCTTAGATAATTTACATATATGTAAGTATGTATGTATGTATACTACATACAACTATAACATAATATTCCATCACAGGATATTTACTTGAATATTATAATATGTACATAGGTTACATTTTACAAATTTTGAAAATACAAACTTGGAACTTGGTTACTCTGCACAGATTTTTGTTTTTTATATTACAAATAAAATAATTTTCAGCAATTATCCACAATAATTATGTAACATAAATACATATATGTATGCTAAAAATTCAATTCAAAATAATTCAATTTAAAATTTAATATTTTATGAAAAGATGTTCTAAAATCCAAATTAATTAGTAGCAAATTAAATTTAATTAAAATTAATTTAAATACTCACCAAATATCTTTATAAATAAATCTCAAATTATAAATTTTCTTTCCAATTTTTAAAATTATTACAAAATATATTTCTTTATTATTAAATTTATTAAAAAAAATATACAAACACTTTCTTTTTTAATTAATGTTCATGTTTTTTTGTTTAACAATTATTAATAATATATCTGTTTGGCTACCACAAAACTTTAAACAAAAGATGACTCAAATTTTCTAAAAAAAAATATTGATTTGACCATTGATTTTTAATCTACAATAATTTTTTTTGTATTTTAAATTTTAATTAAATTGACAAAATATAAAATTACTTGAAATTTTGACGGCAATTGAATTTCTTTCCAAAGCATAAAAAAAAAAAAACAAAATAAAAATACAATATTTTTTAAATATATTTATTTAAAATTTCTAATTTTGTTGTGTGTATCGTTAGAAACGAGAAAATAAATTTTGTAAAAAGCTTTTGTTCAAATCATAAAAATAATTTGATAAATACTTATATATAAAGTTTAATGTTTTTGAAATTAAATACGCGTCAGTGATGCCAGATATAAAAATATTTTCATATTTCTGAGAATTAAGAGTGGATTGTCAGCAACGCCTCCTCACCCAAATTTTTTTGAAATTTTATTATTCACAGTAAAGTAAAGCAATATTCATTGTGTTCGAAAAAAGATGGGTACATTAACATTAAAATTGTTTGTATACAACGAGTACTCTTAAGAAAACAGAACGTACATATATATAATATACAATTTCATTTCATATAATAATAACACTTTCTAAACACTAATTATAGATGTTTATAAACATTTCGAATAAACTTCCGGTGTAAATAAACAATATGTATAGTATTTATAATTTAATTTTAACACTCGTTGCGACATCTAAAAAGTTTAAATTAAAAACTTATTAGTTTTAAAACATGTAGTTCTAATTACCAATGGTTTGCAACTTAGATAAATTAAAAAATTGAATGAATCAAAAAATTCACAATCATTTTATTTCTGCTTAACCGTTTATTTTTGAACCAATTTCTTTATTTTTATGAAAATTCATTTTAGTTCATGCATTTAGGACTAGCCAATATTATAAATGCCCTTAATGCACTAAATTAGATAACTTAAGTATATATTTTTATATTAGGATAGTATATATATATATATCGCTCGTTATTGCAGTCACTTAACTCAAAAAATACGATTTCTGAGTTATTTATATAGAAGAAAAGAACGTAAAACATTTTTTTTGCGAAAAACCGCCATTTCTTTAGTTTTAAAAATTTAGAATTTTCTTTTTCCCAATTTTATTTTTGTTAGTACTTTTAAATTTTTATGTAATCGAATTTATTATTATTTTCTCTACATAGTTTATTTATTGTTCGACAATATTTCCTTTTTGTTTACACAAAATATTATTCAAGTTTTTATCTTTGATGATCAGCGCAAATAAAAATTTTGTTTTGTCTTGTGAACGGACAAAAGCT